GGATCACAGAGTGCTGATCCTCATTGATATATCTTGATTTGGGTATTTGTTAATTCGTGGACAATGATTTGGCTCGATCAAAGTTGGGCGGAAATTCATGGTGAAATAAATGTCCATAAATGGATTATGCAATTGATTGTCTGAAAAATGTTTTCTATTATTGTGGCTTTTTATAGAAGTGAAATGTTTCTATAGGGCAATATGTTACTGATTATATCATAATATAAGTTATTGGGTTTGGCATCAAATGCTACAATTTTTGTAAAAAAAAAAATATTCCATCAAGTACCTGTGTTATTATGTCTCTTGAACATAATGTAAAACGCCAAATTCAGGAACCAAAGGACATTCCGTCCAAAGAAGAGCGCACCTTCTGGGAGTAAGGTTAATCATGCTATTTACATTTCATTTTTAATTTTCTAAAACTCAGAGTAAAAAATAAAAAAAATAAAATAAAATAAAATCTTTTTATTTACAGGGCGCACAACTAAGGCAACACATTGATGCTACTTTGGGCAGTGGAAACCTGAGGGAAGCTGTGAGACTTCCTCCTGGGGAGGATATCAATGAATGGCTTGCTGTCAACAGTTAATAAATATCCTTCGATTCATATTTTGAATCTAATTTTGACTTTTTGAGTTTTGACTTATGGTATTTTGATTTTCAGCTGTGGATTTCTTCAATCAGGTGAATCTTCTGTATGGCACCCTAACTGAGTTCTGTACACCAGAGATTTGTCCAACTATGACTGCGGGTCCCAAGTATGTATTAAATATTGAATTTTTTAATTGTTTACACAACCGATATTATTTTTATTTAAACAAAATAAATAAATAAAAATCAGGTATGAATACCGATGGGCAGATGGTGTGCAGATCAAGAAGCCTATTGAAGTCTCGGCTCCAAAATATGTTGAGTTTTTGATGGATTGGATTGAATCACAGTTAGATGATGAATCCATATTTCCTCAAAGGCTTGGTATCCCATTCACCACAATTTGCCTCTTTTAATACAACATTTTAGGTTTTATTTTGATTTTGATTTTGTTTATAAGTTTTATTAATTATTTTTCAGGAGCACCATTCCCAGCCAATTTCAGGGATGTTGTGAAAACAATATTTAAACGGTTGTTTCGTGTATATGCTCATATCTACCATACACATTTTCAGAAGATTGTGAGTCTTAAAGAGGAAGCCCATCTAAACACATGTTTCAAGCATTTTATACTATTTACATGTGTAAGTTTTCTCCAAACTTATTCTCTTCTAGTGGTAAGTAGAAAACTGAAAAGAATCCATAAGTGGGTTGTTGGGTTTTGTGGGGAAATGAAAATGTGTTTTTGCTTTTGATATGCAGGAGTTTTCATTGATTGACAAGAAGGAGCTAGCTCCACTTCATGAGCTTATAGAATCCATTGTTACTTATTGAAAGAAGTTGGTGTTTTCATTTCATATAATTACTTGACTTTGATTTTATTCGGGAGCTAAATAAGTTGCTGTGGTTACAAAAGTTGTGCTAACTAAGATTGTTGTTTACTGGTTTGTGTTGTATGGTTTTATTTTATAATGCATAAGGTTCACTTGATAATTGTATGGAATGTGTCACGTGTTCTGTTTTCATTCTTGCTGATGATTGAAATCTAAATCAATATCTTCACATGAAGAAACCTAATAACGTATTCATGGCATATATCAGACGACACCCAATGAATAAGGTACTTTCCCTCATCAATACTAAGTTAAAAATAAAAAATACTATATGGTAATCTTTTTTTTTTTTTTTTTTTGAATTGCTTTTTAATTCCATCCTTATTTCAGTGGAATCAACTTTCCCTCCATCAATACGAAGTTCACCTTATTTAAGAATCAAATTATTTATCAAATCTTGAACCAAATATGAGAATGTAAATTCTAATTCCCTCTGATCCAAAGGATTCCTACCAAACAAACACCACCTTGTGATAAAATTTTCCAAAGACAAGACACAATATCCATAAGGAAGACCATAATATATTCAACATAATAATGGTGATTCTCTTTGTGTTTGTAATCAATTAAAATATATATTGTTTAGTCGGAGTAAAGAAACAAAAACCGTTTTACCTTTTAAAGTATTAGTTCGTTAAAATATATTGGATCAGGTCACGTTAAGGGATATGACCGGTTGTTCTGAAAAATCAGTATTGTTCCTCGGCCTAAGGCTTGGGACTAGTTAACGGTGTTAGGCATGTTTGTTTTTTGTTTTTTTTAATTATTATTATTATTTTACCCTAACGACATCCCATACAATAATAATATGGCGACTTTGGTTTGTAACATTACGACAAAACTGCATAAATGGTCTCCGTGGTTTGCACAAATGATCACTTTTTGATAGTTTAGCTATGATTTTGATCTTATCTCGTTAACTGTAATAGATATGTTGTTAATTTTCTAAATGATAATTTTATCCTTCAGAAACCACTAGGTATAATTACATGGGTTTAATTAAAAAAAATAAATATAAAATTTTAACAATTTGAAAAGTTTAAATTTATAAGAAAAATGAGAAAAATTTGAATTAATATAATTAATGAGACTTTAATGTATTGAATAGATTACATATATAAATTTTTTCTAATAAATACTTTACATATATATTACCTTACACATTAAATGTGGAATTTTAATTTAATAAAATGAAAAATACAATAAAATGACAAGTGGAAAATAAAAAATTTAAAAATTCTAGAAATGTCATGTGTCAAAATGAATGAGAAGATGACATGTGGCAAAAAAATCTTTATTTATTATAATAGAGATTTCTCCAGTTTTATCTTTTTATCAAATTACTAGGACAATTTTTGTATACCTACTTTTTAATTTTATTGGATTATTATATATTATTAAATTTTATTTTTAAGATATAATATTTATATATATTGATCAAATTTATTTTATCGGATTCTTAATTTATTTTAATTTGTGTTAATTTTTTTTAATTGTTTTCTTATTATTTTAAATAAAAAATTGGCCAAAAAAACAATCTCACCCACCATTTCTAATTTATTTTAAATATTTTGAATATAACACATTTTAGACAACAATCACAACACCACCACCATCACTTGGTCACCATCACCACCATCAGACCGCCTCCCTCTTATAAAGTTTACATGTAAGAACACCCCTACCGATCAACATTCCTTGTATCTTTCTCTGTTCTTTGTTTTTGTCGGAGCTTGAAAACCACCACCACATGTGTCCTCCATTCCAGCTTCTATATAACCTTATACCATCGAAGCTTCAAACATGCACCATTAGAAAAAGATATGGCGGCATCTATGAGGTTTGAAAACCCTAAATCTAACATTGTTGTTGTTGGTGATTTGTTTCACTAATTGTATTTAAGTGTAATGGGTTTACTTGTTGACCAAAAATCAATCTTGATGAATAAGGAAGGTACGGAGCGCACACTTGTTTAAGTTTATTCAAAATTAAAAGTAGACTGTCATTTAAAGGCGAAACCCCTGAACAAACGGGGGTCCGGGGGCAGTTCCCCTGGGAGCGGGGTCCAAGAGGTAGAGCCCCTGGCTGGGGTCGAAATATTTTTAGACCTTAGAAAACCCGAATTTATGACAGTTTTGACTGTTGAGAAAAATGTTTTATGACAGTTTTGACAGTTTTCAAACAAATAATGTTTTTACCCAATTTTTGGTCAGTTTTCTGGTACTCATGAAATTCATACATTTTCATTCTCTGTTCTTTTCTCTTCTGAGTGTTATCCAATCAAAGATTAGAGAGTACCACCCAAATACTTTGATTTGAAAGTGGAATCTCAACTCTCAGAATATCCAAGTGCCTTTATTACCCCGAATTTCTAACAGGCATCATCAATGGCAATGTTGGTAACAAATAGACGATTGGAGGTTGTTTCTATTCATGGATTTGTTGCAAATTGTGCGGGTAGTAGACAGGTGTCGTTTTCGTTAAGAATGGCCGACTGTAGGCAATGATAGACGATTTCTGACGAGATGGTGCAACAAGGCAAGGTGGTATAAGACAATAAATGGAGGGACTCATCAAGAGTGTTTGGACTAGATCTTTTGGTGGTTTGAATGGTGGTCGTTGTAGCGGAAAAAACGGAAAACAATTGGCTTAGTGGCGGATACAAAGAATTACAAAGGACTGTAAAGAAGCTGATGCATGTGGTAACCTGCAAAAGTTAGGTGGAACAAGTTGGTGAAGTTTCTGTCGGACCTCCGATGAAGATGATTAACAGTAGTCCCGACGATTTTTGATGGTGGGAAGTTGTGCTTTTGCATATTTCCTAGACTTTGTGGTGGAACTAATAAAATTAAAAAATAAATTAATACTATATATCAAAATTAAATTAATCAAAACAATAAAAAATATTTATTAATATAAAGAAATTAATAAAATAATATTTATTAGAAGGGGTGGGGTCGGTGGGATATATTTGGGTTTTTTATTTAAAATAATAAAAAACAATTAAAAGAATATAAAGAAAATAAAAAGAAATTAATAGTCCAATAAAATAATATTCATTAACATATAAATATTATATATTATAAATAATATCTATTAATATATAATAATCCAATAAAATTAAAAAGATGGTATGCAGAAATGATCTTTTGTAGTTTGGTAAAAAAACAATTATTAGAAATGGTCCCTGAGGGTAAACATATTGAAAAAAATTTAACAACATAGCTGTTAGAATTAATGAGATTCCAACCAAAACCACAACCAACCCACCAAAAAATAACCAATTTTGTGGGTCGAAATATTTTTGGACCTTAGCCACACAAATGTGCACAAACCACAAGGACCATTTCTGCAGTTTTGTCTAACATTATCAACATGAGCTAACTGCTTCAAAGTTTAAACTAGCCAAACAGAAATATGCACTAATACAAGCACCAATTAATTAGCCAAAACATCCAAATGATGAATAACGAAATGTGTGCATGCATACGTATAGTTATTTCAACTCCAGCTCTACCTCCATCTAACCAAACACCACATCAATTCAATTCAATCGAATTTAAAATACAAAAAGAAAGTACAAATTTAACTACACCTGACCTTATGCCAAGCACTCTGCTACTCCAAAAAAGACAAAACTCTAACACCCCCATTATAACTGCTCATGAAACCCCTCATCAGGTGTAATATGAAGCATCCTAAACTCAGGCTTCCCACATTTCTTATCTGCAAAAATATACGACCCCACCACACCAGAAAGAACCAAAAAAACAAGCCCAAACATCTGCAAATTAGCCAACACCTGTCCACGAACCTCATGATCATGATGCAAACATGAGACCTCATTTGCTTCAAGCTTACAGCCAGCTGGCATCATGGGCCCATAGAGTGTGAATGCAGTCTGATAAAACCATAGCCCTTGAAGTGTCACAGCAATGCCACCACACAGATCAGCAGGAAAGCTTGTGGGCATTATGGCCCCTGCAACAATGGAGATTATGCAAAGGGCTACCAGTAGAACAAGGAGGAGATGATAATGACCTTCTAGCCCTTTGTGTGTTGTTGAATGGAAGAAGAATAAAAGGTACTCTGCACAGAATGCTGCTGCTGATATTAAGCACAGGGCGCCTTCTGGTAAAGGCAGGAAGCTGAAATTGACCAAAGAAGGTCAAAATTCAAGATTTAATGGAAGAAAACAAAAATTTGTGCAAAAACGAATATGGATAGATGAAAAGAGATGAGTAAAGTTGAAATCTTGGATACAAGCTGTGTTAGTTTTTCTTTACAATTAAATTTGGAATATAAGGATGCTATGGTCATGTTTATTCGGTCCATAAAATAAAGCAAACATCATTACGCATTGAGTCATTTTACTCATACAGTAGTTAATGAGAAAGAAACAGCCCATTAGTTCTTTATAAGTCGTAATAATTAATAATAAAATGTAAGCGCAACTATGAATGATGAAGACTGACCTGGTTTTTTCAGAGAGCAAAGCAACAATACTGAAGAGGAAGAACATGAGAAGCATGCCTCCATGTTCAAAGTCATTCATGTGATGTGGGTTCAAGACACCATTAACAAAGAACTTAAGGTGGGTTGAATATAAAAGCTCTATACACATATCAATAAAAGCTCCGACTGCTATAACATAGAGCTCTAAGTACTTTAATTTCCCATTAAAACCTGGAACAGGGTTCCACATTCTTACACGAAATGATTTTGGGTCTGCTGCATAACGAACCACTGTGCACCATATATGCCATGCTCCAACCATAAGAAACAGTGTCCCTGGAACTGCATGTCCAGCGAAAGATCCCATTTTTTTTCTATCTTTCCACAATAATTCTGTAACCAAAACTCTTGTCGAACTTGATTTTTCTTCAAGAACGGGATAAAGACCAAAGAAATTGAGACGGGTTTCTTTGAAAATCAAAGAAACAGATCGCGATATGAAATTATGTCACTCTTCTGTTATTCAATTTGGGGAAATCTTGTTATACCAGGTACAAAGTAAAGAAACTTCTAGTCTATCACCCTTGTTTCTTTCAAGTTCTTCAAACCAATTGGATCGGTTCCTGTTTCAACAAAACAATTTCTTTAGTCAAAAAGAAATTCCCAATGTCATTTACTTAGGAAATTTCAGAAAAGTTTCTTCTATATCATCATTACAATATATTATAAAAGTCAAATCAGTATCACGGTCAAAAATGGAAGCTTGAAATCAAGAAAAAAAAAATCAGATCGTATAAATGAAAACCCTATTGCTGCCGATTAGTACAGCTACGGTGAATCAATCACGTATTGTTATTGCTGCAGAATCGATTAAAGTTTAGAACAGCTTCTTGTACATCATAGTAATATCCAACAGTCAAAAGTCAACCATAAGCAAAATAGAGAACGGAAGCTTGAAACAGGAAACGAATAGATCATATAAATCAAATACCCATTAACCTAAATGCGGGTACAACTATGGTAAATCAACGAAAGGTGACTATACGAACGAGCATGAAATTTAGAAAAAGAAGATATGAACTTATTACACATGAGTAATATCGAAAGTGTGATTGATACTTGTTTCATGATTACGATATGATTCGAAAAGCTTACTCAAATCAAGATTGAGGAGATGGTTATGATTATGGAGGAAGAAGGTGGGATCGGAATCGGATAGCGTTGCCGTCTGTGAAAAAGGAAAAGCGACAAAAAGAAATAAAAATGGTAGCTTTTGACGGCAAAATTTCTTATCGTAGGAAAAAGCTTTAAAAGTTTGCAATTATGAATCATGATGATGGGTATTGGTTTAAATGCATAATTTGGGATTGAATAATCTATTTCTACCATTTTTGGGATTGAATAATCTATTTCTACCATTTGGTGTTTTGGGTCCCACGGCTTTTGGTTAAACCCGAAAACATCTGCGTGTTGTTTCATTTTTACTCGTTACAATCGACGTTTAAGATTTGGGGAATAGATCGAAATGGAAAATTGGCATGACCATGTAAGATTTTTGTTTTTTATTTGTATTTTCTAATGAAAAATTAGAATGAATATTTAAATTGTTCTAGTTATGTTATTTAAAACAAATAGAATTTACTTGTTATTTGATAACCGAAGAAATTAATCTCCACATGAAAAAGGAATAACCAAAAAAATATTAAATAATTCCAACGAGTTCACAATGAATAAAATACTCTCACCAAAGAGGTATCATAACCATCTAAAGTTCTCATAAAAATTCCAAAATATCATTCTAAACTATCAGATCTTAGACGTTATATTGTGAAGATTTGGGCAACTCTTACGAGTTCCTTATAGCTTAATTCAAAATCATATCCAACAAAGTTATGTCACAAGTCTACTTTAACATCTTCATTCAAAATCATATCCGAAAAAGTTATCCCACAAGTCTACCTCGACATCTTCATTTCCAAATTCCAATACTTCTATCCTTTTTTTCATGTTCCTTCTTCGTCGACCAACATTCAAATTTATATATCATGACGGACCTAACAACTACCCTGTAAAAACCCTCTTTAAGTTTCAATGACACTCTCCTCTCACATAAGAATCATGATGTCGTCATCCATTTTAACAAACTTGTCTTTTGTAACATCTCAATATCAGGTAATTTTTATTATTGCTTTTATCTTTATCAAATGTGGCACAATTGGTCCCTTGAGGAAAAAGGCTTGCATTTGTGGCCGTATGCAAGGCATAATTAAGAGTACATGCAGCGTACTGATGCAACGTGGAATCGCGAGTGATCCGCTAGTATGTTGGGCGTACGTATGGTACGTCGGGCGTCCTAGCCCATACTCCAAACCCTAATCCTAAGGGTTGCTCCCTATTTAAACAACATTATGTCCCCATTTGATCATCCTTATCAGCCATCATTCCCTCCTTAAACCTTAATTCCAAGTTTGAGTTGCTTGTGTGAGTCTTGTGGGATTATTGGGTGTTTTTGGTGCATCTTGTTGAAGAAAGAGACTATAGAAGAAGGAGTGGGTGCTAGCAAGCTTGTAGACCTAGGAACCTTCCTCTTGGTGCATCATTTTCAGGTATAAAGTTTATACTTTGATAAGTTTTCCATTAGATCTACATGGTTGAATTTTTATGAACTTTTGTCCCCAAGATCGGACCTTTGTGAGTTTGGAGCACTCCAGGGGCTTGTAGTTGTCCTTTCATGCACTATAGGATTTGTAGATTCATAAAAATGATTGCTTGACCAATTCTTATGGATCATGCATGAGCAAAGTAGCTTAGAATGTGTTCGAAGTTTAAGTTTGTTGCATTGGGACTTTTCTAGCCATACAAAGGCTTAAAGTTGATGACTTTATGGAATAAGACACCTTAGGATGGTCAGATCTCAAGTTGGGGGTTGGATGTCTTAATAGATTAAGACATAAAGTTGATAAGTTGAGACAGACAGAGTACGTCGTGCGTACTCTTGGCTACACCTCGTGTATCTAGTTCCGACCCCGACCATAGGTTGTTCGATTTGTACGCCCCGCATGAGAAGAGGTACGCCCAGCATACGCGCTAGGCAATTAACTTTTGACCTTTGTTCAAGATTTACGGTTTTCGACCATAGGAAGGGCAAAATGGTCTTTTCCCCTTAGAGGACTTAGTTATGGGATTTGGACTCATGAGTTGAGTTTTGAACCTTAATTATTAATTAGGGTTAATTATTCCGTTAATTAGGTGGAGTCTAGTTCCGACAGCTCGGGTGTGAGTGTTAGATTAGGTGTCTAAGCCCATAACTATTTTGGTATGTACTTTGCCCAATTATGAACATGATCCTTTTGGGTTGCCTTCACGATAGCAACTAATAGGATGAATTAAGGAGAAAGAGGATTAATTATGATTTATTAATATATTATGTGAATAATATATTAAAAGAGAAATCATATTGTTTAATTAATATTGATTAAGAATTAATTTAGAATTAATTTTGTGGTCAAAAGATATTAATTAAACTTAGGAGACTGATATTGTAATTATAAGATAATTGCATTGTGGGCTGAGAAACCCTTGGAAAGGGGTTGGACAAAATCCTTATGGATAGCCCATAAAATTTCGTCCATAAGGAGTATTCTGGAAGGATCTTGTGGGCTGCTTAGAGCCTAAGCAACCAAATAAGGCCTTTAAGTGAAACCCTAATTCCTCAGCTATATAAAGACACCCCAGGCATCCAAAATCGGCTAACCTAACCCTAAGAAGAGTTCTAGAGTTGATTTTACTCTCTCTTCTCTTCTTTCTTCTTCATTGTTGCTAGTGGTGTTTGTGACTCTATTAGAGGTGCAACAGTTGGGGTACTAAGCTTCCAAAAGTCAAGATCAAGAAGTTTTGTGATTGTTATTGCTACATAACATCAAGGTAATATTCCTAACCTTATTCATATGTGATTTTTTAGATTTGTATGCTAGTCAATTAGGGTTTATCGCTTTGGTATTCAATGTTGTATGTTTACTTAGAAAAACCTAAATCAAAGCAATTAGGGTTGCATGTACACCATAGGATTGATGTTATGCACACAACCCAATTGTGAGGTCTACTTGTCGTCAGTATCAGGCGAGTATCCTCACTTATTCTTACCTGTGTGGTATAATAGTTGTATCTGTGATGATCGGGTGGGTCTACCTGTAACATTCGGTTTTAGATTTGCTTCATTATTCGGGGTTGCGGTCCAATCTTCAGTTGTCATAAGTCTTAGGGCCTTGGGGAAGAAAGGTTTTGGTCTTTTCGGAGGTGGGTGTTATGATTTGAGTGATCCAATTATTCGATGGTGCCTTCGGAGGCCAAGGGTATAATTGTAATTTGATAAGTCGGTCTTTTATGGATTTTGGGATTTTTCGGGAAGTTTTAAGGCTATGGTGTGTTGTTAGGAGCGTAGGGCTTCTCGCCACTTTTCTGTGGATATAAGGTTCGTTGGAAACATACCTATGATGAGGAAGTTAGAGTAGTTTGAAATAATGGCAGAAATGGCCCTTGGTGGAAAAAGTCGGCAAGTTAGTCCCATGCGTGCATGAAGGAAGGCACATGCCTAGGTGAGTACGACCAACGTAGCTGGGGGTACGCCAAACATAATGACCAGAGTGTGAAACCCTAATTTTTAGTGTTTGAGCACTCTTTATAATTTATACATCTTTATGAGCTAAAGGTTCTTTCATTTCTCAACCTCCATTGCCTTATAGCCTCATTTTGAAAACCACAATATCATTTTGAGTGTTTGAGAGATCCAAGTGTGCATTTTGCAGTGTTTTTTCTCATTTTCAAGAAAAGGGTGCTTGGTGCTAGCTTGTGGTTCAAAGGAAAACTTTTAGATCCAGACTTTTGGCTTTATTTCCAGCTCATTCAAGGTATAAAGTTCTTATATTGACTTCTTCTTATTCCAGTTTGAGTTTAGGGAAAGATTAAGGGTTTTTATGGTGTATTAAGTTCTCTTTGTGAGTTTGAGCCACTCCAGGATATTGGCTCTTCTGATGTTTCTAGTTCATAAAAATGCTTGCTTGATGTTAAAAATGGTCCATGAAATTTCCAGTTGGATTTGAATGGGTCTTAATGGATTAAGATGGTTGTTAGGTCCCATAGAGTCATTCAAATGCATAAAGGTGCCGACTCTATGCATTAAGAGCTTTATTTTAAGGTTCCCTGAAGTTTGTGTACAAAGGGATTAAGTGGTTAAGTTGGAAATCGAGTTTTGGATTAAGCCATGTGATGCGTGCAAATAGCTACACCTAATTTTACCTACTCTCCTACTAGCTATTTGACCCAGGGCACTGCACCCTACGCTAATAGTATAGCACAAAAGTCGGGTATCGAACACAGGGAATGAAATTAATTATTTAACCTACTTACTATTAAGTTAACCTAAAATCCTAACAAAAGTAAAAGGGTTTTTTTTATCTAATTTTGCAAGTTTAGATAAACATAAATTCTCAAACACAACTCAATCAAATATTAAAAACACTTCTATTAGTTTGAATCCACTTTCCCTCAATGGTTTGAATATTAATTGTGATAATTCCCGTTGGTTACCAAATAATGTATTATTAGCAATTCAAGTCTAAATTTACAAATAATGACGTAAAGTGTGAAACTACTCAAAATCCAGAATGGGGAACAAAGATGCGAAGGCTACTGAAAGCCCGAAGGATGCGAGCTTCGGTGCGAAAGTGTAGAAGGTGGGAGGTTCGCATGCGAAAGTGTCCAGTTCATAGCGAGAGGTCTCAGTTGCGAAGGTGTATGGTCCGAAAGTAAGGGTTTGCATGTGAGAGATAGGCTGCGAGATCTACCCGGTTTTCTAAATTTGGCCCAAACCTCTTACATGGGCCTTACCCTAAAGCCCATCCAAATATTATAGTCCATATACTTGTTCTTGGATGGACCATCAATAACCTAATCAACAAGCCCAACATAAAGGACTAACTCAAGGCCCAAACAAAATTAGGGTTTTCACATAAAATGACGATTAGGGTTAAGTGTTCTTACTTAACCCATTAAGGACTTAACCCATTAATTCCAATATTACCTTAAGATAATTATAGGGGCATTATTATGTATTATTTAGAAATTTAATTAACGACTTCAACGCGGGTCCCGATAATCCAAACTAACATATCCAAAATTAGGGTTTTCTAAACCTTAATTAGGGTTTCTAACCCAAGCACATGCTAATTGGTCAAACGGATAGGATTTTATATTATTTAGGGTTTCATTAGGTCAACTAGGGTTTCATTAGGTCGGGCACCACCCACTACCACCTCGGGTAGTGGTGGTCAATAGCGGCTGCCACCACCTCATGGTGGTGGTTATAATTTTAGACTAAATATGTTCAAGCATCTAAACCAGCAATCCAATCTCACTATGCACACCGCCACCTAACACGACGGCTGGTGGTGGGTGTTTCTGGTCAAATATTGCATATACAACTTCACACCCATAAAGACCCATACAGTACACCCTCACACACACAAAAACACACACAGCCACCCCTAATGGTGGCTGGTGGCAGCAGAAAAGAGAACATGTGGCAGCAGCCATGGTGGTTTTCCATGCTTTCCGGCTAACGAGCACACATGCACACACGCATATCCAAGGATCACCGCGACACACCTTCATGTGAACATACACCCACTGCTAGTCCCTCCTCACGATGGTGAATCTCGACCAAAACAACTAAAATGTTGGTTGTACTAGCGGTGATGGCAGTGGCTAGTTGCTGTAGAACAAGCTTAGAAGCGAGGGATGGTCGGAACGGCACCGACAACAACTGAGTGTGACTATGAGTGGTGACAGAAAAGAAGAAGAAGGAGGAGGAGGACCGCGGAAAGGTGGCAGTGGACGCTTACAACTTCGTCAGTAGTCCTCATTATCATCGATAGCAGGGGCACAATGGTGGTGTTTCAGTGACGAGGATGGCGGCGCCGGAGGTGGTTGAAGTGAGGTTGGCGGCTGAA